TTATACTCAAAATTCAAAGTTCAGAGAAATTATTTGGATGTCACAGATTTTTAGGCACTAGCATCAAATTTTATCCTTGCTTTATTTGGAGCGCAGTGAGTTCCGGTGAAAGCTCCACAGGGTAGATGAGTGATTGGAGGGGCATGAAGTGCTGTGGGATTTTTTTATTTGATATTGATGCCTGCACATAAAGTTCATTGTAGAAGGGTTTTCAGAACAAACTTGAAAAGACTCAAGAAAATGAGTTTCACAAGTTTGCATTATTCATTTAGGTTTATAGGAATAAACAACAAGATGTTGCCAGGGCTGTGTGAAACATGGATAAATTTAAGTTCCAAGCACTCTACCTCCTATCATCGCAGCTGTTTTCGATTGAAGCAGACCAGGGTCAAATCAAGAAGAAATTTAGTTTCTTAATTAAAAAAAACAAACAACCCAACCTCCTTTATGTCCCATGTAATTAAAATGCTGGGTATCAGGTTCTGTGGTTGTCGGTAAGAAGAAGAAGGTAACATTGTAATGAATAATTCATTCACTATATTTTCCTGGGTGTGAAAGACAGTGGTTTCAGATAGGTTCATAACAGCACCCTTGTCTGGCAGGTCCCAAGCACAGCAAGAAGCCTCAGGGGATCCCAAATGATGTTGTGGGTGCCACGAGTGGAACATGAGTCTTTTCAAGTGATTTACATGTGTCAAGAGTAACATGTGGCCACTGTTCCCAAACCATGAGCTGGTTACTGGACTGTGCAGCTCAGGTGTGTGCTTCCACACTGCTCTTCCAGAGTGAGTGCACGTGTGAAACTCTACTGCCTAACTCTGAGCTGCTGTGCTTGCAAAAAAACCAAAAAGGGTTGTGCATGAGGCCCAAAACAAGGTTGGTGAGGTTCCTCGCTCATTTGAGGCCCAAGTATTTGTACACACTTCTGTTAATTTATTTATTTATTTATTTATTTATTTATTTATTTATTTTAAAGCTCTTTCCCCTTCTGATGTGTGGAGGATCCCCATAAGCGAATGGCAGTGATGATGAAACCCAGGAGGTTCTTTGCCAGCCCTGGGTGTGTGCTGGCTGCTGCCATCTGGCCACATTTGAAAACATATCAAGACTCGGCTTTAAGAAAACTTGCATGCTTCTCTCTTTCATAGTAGGTAGAAGTAGCTGAATCAGTGCTAGGTAAAAATAAGTAACCAAGAGCATGTTCACAGCATTCCTCTTTATACTGATTGACTGAAATGATTTTCTCCCTTCCAATTCTGTTGTGATTTAGTCGCCGAGCAGCAGACTTCCAGCTATAATTGTCGCACTACTCCATTTTCCAGCCGCATTCATCTCCAAGAACTGCACAGCTTATGTCTAGACAACCCTCTGAGGAATCTCCCTCTGTGGCCTTACATAGCTTTTGCAGTGACACCAAGACTGATGTCAGCCATTTTCGAGACAGATAGCCCTGCCTCTGCCTCTCACGACACAGTTAGCCCAGACAAGCGCTTCCAGTGGAGGCAGCATGTTGAATCTTTATTACAAAGCATACACAATCTGCATACACGTGTGCTTACACACACGTGCACAGATATGCTTTTGAGGAAGACTGGACCCTTTACTTTTTATGTTGTGTTTTAAGTCTGGTTTTGTTAGCATCCATGCAGTTTTCCTTTTTGACTTCTGTGGAAAACTTAGGGTGAAATGTAACAAGGACTGGTACAATTTCCCTGCTGTGCCTATTGTAGGGAAATTCCCCAGCCTGAGGGAATGGTAGAAAGGTGTGTGTGGGGAGGTGTAGATTAAACATCAGGAAAAACCTGCCTTATACTGTTCCTAGGCTTGAGGCTTACTTCCATGCAATGGCTCTCTCACCCTCCAAAACAGGGTGGCTCTGTGCAGGCTTATCAGGAGTGACCCCTGTTCCCTGCTAACTCTTGAACTACACACAAGAGTGATTTGGAGGAGTGCTAGTGTAGCAGACCAAAGCTATTCCAGATGCTGTGGTAATAACATGTTATAAGTAATCAAGTTCCAGTTTCCCACCACTATTGTGCCATAGCTAAGGTAGGCACCCTGTGTTTAGGGGGAATGGAGCCAGTGAACTGGGCTAATGCATTTCCAGTCCCACCTTCTCCTGCAGGCCCTACAGAAGTGAAAGGGTGGGTCCATGCTCACATACCATATGTCTTCTGCCTCTTCCCTAAATCAAGCTTCAGACCTTAGGCTAAACTCAGTGATGGAATAAAGACTTATGGCATGGAAGACTCACTATGTTTAGTGTTGACCAGTCACTTAGCTGACAGACAGATAAAGTCTTCCTTATAGTCTCAGAGGAGAGGGAATTATGTTAGGAATGTACCCTGAATGATGCCTGACTCGTACTCGGGATAGCACATCATGCTGTCACTGAGGGAGACAGAGGTGACCAGACCAGAACTACCATCATGGTATGGCTTTACACACATGGTGGGGATATGGATCAAAACTGTAATGCTTCCCTCCCCACTGCCACTCTAGTGTTGAGCATCAAGAAGCACAATGGATCATCAGCACAGAAAATACATCAAGCGTGGTTTTGAAACATTTCAATGTTGGAAGTTTCCAGTCGGGTAAGCACGTTGCCTGTTACCAAAGGCACAGAGCTGAAGCAACTGCTGTCCTAAAAGATTGTTAAAATTAAATTGTGAATTTACATCTCTGTCATTGCAGCCCTGGAGCAGAGTGGCTGCCTAGGTGTTTCATAATGGAGAATCTAAGTGTAGCAACACAGGACTTAGTCTGCTGAATAGTATGCAGTATTATGTAATTTAATAACATTAAACTAGGATGTTCAGATAATATTATTTGAAATCTGTTTATTTAATACCATTTATATTTTATATGTCAGTTGAATTTGGGGAAAAAAAGATTATAGAAGAAACTGGGGGGGAGCACAGTAGGAAATTGTGCAAAGTGCTTATCTGAGACTACATCACATGGTCTGCAAAGCACGGCTTTTGCTTTCATACACATAGTCTTGGCTACTCTCCCACTAGCAACAATAGTGCTCAGACTCATACTGATGTCACTGTTGAGTTATTTAATTTGACTGTACGAGATTAATGTGTTTATTTAAAACCTTGGTCAAAATGGAAAAGAAAATCTTGGGACAATACTTTAACGTGAATGTGCATGTTTTCATATCTGATGATTGTAATGTTGCGTTAACTTATCAGAAGCAGTTGTTTACACATGCCAATGCCCGGGAGACCCCCTCAGATAAGAAGTGTGAGCCATTTTCCCTCTCAGCCTGGAGCAGAGACTTCACTGCTGCTGGTCCAGTGGGCTTTCATCCCAGGCTTTCCTTGCTTCCTGTTGCTGCTTTCAGGGCTGATCCACAGCGATCCCAGCATTGATTCATTTTCTACGTGAGGATGGGGTTTGGTGCTGCCAAGCAGTGACAGTAGTGTGGTGGTGAATCCTCCAGAGATTCTCGTTGGGGCAGTGAGGGACAGACGCCTGCACTGCACAGGATGTTGAGATGTGGCTGATGCTGTAGCCTCTGTAGGCTGAGCCTGCTCCTGCAAAGGCTGGAGCCTGCCTGCCTAAGTTTTATCCACATTATGTTTTACAAGCAGCTTGAGGGTTTTTTCCTGTGATAAATCATTCTGAATTTACTTCATTCTCACATGTACCCTCTAAGTGTTTGGAATAGACTTTGGTTTTTACTAAGAAGCATTATTAAGTGTCCAGTTAAATACTCCAGGTCATTGGACTTTCCCTAATACAGAGCAGGAAAAAAATCTGGAATATGAAGTTTCTCTTGCTGTGAAGGGACAACTTCGGGCAGTTCTGTGGAATCAATTGATCGTTGACTGATGAATGGCATAAGTGAGGGAGTTTCTGCTGTGCTCTGTCAGGAACCTCTCTTGATAATTGAGAACAAATGGACACACACATAGATTGATAACGTAGAAATTGCATAAGCCACAGCTCAATGCTGTGGTAGGTGCCTGAAGCAAGGTGGGCCTGCTCTGCCTTTCAGTTTTGTAGTCCTTCTGTGCATACTTTCATGCAGTCTCCTGTTCACTGGTTCTTGGAATATTAATGTCTTGGGGAATAGCAACTACTGATGGGGTTTGTGGCATGCCAAGGTGTTGCTTTTATGCTGCTTCCGTCTTCCTAGTGCAGTAGAAGGCTTTTGGGCATTTGAGCCCCCGCTTTACCATTGCCGCTGTTGTGGAAGAAGGGAAAGAGCTTGTTATCTGTCTGTGTACCTGCATTTCTTAGAGTGCTTGGCGTCTTAAAGGGTAGTGCAGTGGGGCAGAGGGATGGGCATGGGAACAGAAGAACTGGTAGAAAAAACAGCTTCAGGCAATCCTTGGTCCTCAGGTTGTCTAAGAGGCTCTGATGCCCTGGGCTGCATGTGCTTACTCTGCAGCATGCTCCAGAGCTGTATGGTGCCAAGGGTATCAGACTATGCCAAATCTTCAGGATTGGTGTCCTGTATCAATGTGTCATACCTGCACATGGTGTTCCCAGGTGCCCTTTGAACTCTTACAAGAACTGTACATTTAAGGAAATTGCAGAATAATATGGTTTGTGAAGCTCTGCTACTCCCCGGACTGGGCGACGTCTGTCTCCTCAGTGGCTGCATATAAGTAGTGCTGAGGACTATGAGCAGGCCTTTACTGGATGGAGGGAAAGGTCCACAGAGTGGACCAGGGCAGTCATGGAGCTACTTTTCTAGAAGCATCCATTTAGAAGCTGCTCCCATCTCCTGTTTTAAGTGTCTTCTGTATATATAGTTCAGACCTTTGGACTACCTATGCACAGGGGGTCCATGAAGTTTATTTAAAGCAATAAATAGCTTCACATACGAAGACATCTTTCCTCAGAGTTCCAGTCAATGGAAATATGTCATTTACAGGTAAAATTAGACTGGCTCCAGCTACATGAAGGAAAAAAAGTAAAAACCCTCAAGAACTAAACTCTTTCTGTTGGACTTTGTCAGATGTAGCAACTCCTAGCAAAAATAACCGTGGATCCATCCAGCACAAACTGTGTCCAAAAGTATGTGATTTGGATCCAGAAAGCTGTGAATTGTTGAAGAGAGAGAAACAGACTGTCTAGACAAACAAGGTTTTTCTCTTCCATGTGAGAAAATATAAATAAGCTTAGAGAATACTAATAAATCTTTGAAAGGCCCTAAATGAAACCTGAGAGTAGTCATTTTAAATTAGTTTTGCAGTTAATATTGTACAGCTCTTGACAGTACACTGTGAGAGTGGAGTGGCAGAGAGGGAGTTGAAATCAGTACAATATTCTACTCATTGCTTCCATAAAATTTGATATTACAGATTTAGTTTCATAGAAGATGCTTGAGCTGAACCCACAGATACCAGCATATAAAAGAGAGCTACATTTTGTTTTCTAGTAAATATAACCCTAGTCGTGCAACAATTTGCCTGGTGCATTAAACTCTAAACAGAGTTAAAGTGGCTGGATGCTTAATGATTTCCATCGTCCAACTCTAAAAGGAGGGGGGAGGATAATGGGGAGGAGAAGCTTGGACCCAAAATAAACATCAAAAAACAAGCAGAAAACCATTGCAAATTAACTACACATTATGAATAATTTCTCTTTCAAAATATTTTGTTGAAGGAACAATGAAAATAGTGTGTGAAGCCTAACTATGTATTGTGTTGCTGTTCCAGGCTTCATCAGCAGTTCCTTGATGTTTGGAAAGTTCTGAGACCCACCCTGTCAGACCACTTGTAACCAGTGCCTAAGACTACAAGAACGTATGTGTGGAAGAACCTTTCCTTGAAGGAAGTGTCCCTTGCTATACTGTGGAAACTCCGTGCAAGCCTTGCCAGGCAGGAGAGTAATTTGTGCTTCTGTTGGCGCTTGTTTGTAATCTCTGCTTCTTATGCACTCCAGCACCCCTATCAGTTCCTTGTTCTCCTTCACCAGCCCTGCAGTGAAGAGGCTGCTGGGCTGGAAACAAGGAGATGAAGAAGAAAAGTGGGCAGAAAAAGCTGTCGATTCCTTGGTGAAGAAGTTAAAGAAGAAAAAGGGTGCCATGGAAGAACTGGAAAGGGCTCTGAGCTGCCCGGGTCAGCCCAGTAAATGTGTCACGATCCCACGTTCCTTGGATGGGCGGCTGCAGGTGTCTCACCGCAAGGGGCTTCCCCATGTCATATATTGCAGAGTGTGGCGCTGGCCTGATTTACAATCTCACCATGAGTTGAAACCACTGGAATGTTGTGAATTCCCGTTTGGCTCAAAACAAAAAGAAGTGTGCATTAACCCCTACCATTACCGGCGGGTGGAAACCCCAGGTAATTATGTCATCTGCCAATGATTCACATCTCTCTATTAGCTCTTGCTCTAGCAGGTCTAGTCTTGGTGCATCCTACGAGTTGTGCTCTGAAATGTGAAAAGGCAGGCTCCATCTAATGGAAGGATCTTGGGTCTTACCCTGCCCTGTGGCATCATAGCTCTGGCAGCCAGGAGTAAGGAGGGAGTAAGGAGCCTGTTGCCCCATGGGGTCTGCATCCCATTGGACCACCGAGGGTGCCCGGATCTTGTCCAGGGTGCTGAAAGCAGCTTCCTCTCCATGGATGTGGGTGCAGAATCCTTCCCTTGTGGTGTCCATTTGCATTAAGTCTAGGCACCAGCCCAGGCTTACCACCCTGGCAAGATTTACGTCTCATTGTCTCAAAATCAACAATCAACTCATTAACCCAGAGGAAACACTAGCTCTCCCTTTAAAGATAAGAGTTGCAGTAAGATGGCCTATTTTGCAGTGGATATGAAACCAGGTCAGTTGATTCTTCCTAAAATGCCTGGTGGCCTGCCTTAAATGGAATTTACTTACCTAAAGGGGGAGTTTATGTGAAATAAATCCCCCAGGTTCTCATAAAACTTTGAAATTTTCCCCAATAATCCTCTTTAGACTGGACTTGGCCAGCACTAAAACACTGAAGGGTCATTTAATTGGGCTTTATGTCAATGAAACAGCTGTTAAAAATTCATAGTGTTCAGTGTTGACTTCTGTAAGGACGTTAGAAAGCAGGGCTGGCAGAGATCTCAAGCAGTCATCCTGTTTTCCTCTGCCCAGACCACCAAACCAAAAGAAATGACCAGGTACATTCCTGACGGATCTTTTTCTAATGAGCTCTAAAAATCCCATGTGATATAGGCTCTACAGTCTCCCCAGGCAGGTGAATCTATTGCTTTGCTCTTCTTACAGTTCAAAATGATTTCTAATGTCTAACCTAGCTCTCCCTTGCTGCCAAAAATCACACTAATTTAATTTACTAATGGATACGGTTGGTAAGTGTATACTTATTATTCTGTGATTACTCTTTGTCTGGCATGAACTTTACTCTGAGGTGACATTAGGATCAGATAAGTGAACTGTGGGATGCTTCTTTTCACACAGATGAAATAAGGGAAAGACATTTGTTAACATTTGTTAAACAACAGGGGCTGCTTCCTCCTCTGATAGTCCTTCCACTGCAGCAGAACTGTTGCTGTGAAGTTGTATCTGAACTGCTGTAAACATTGTCACAACTTTTAAATTTTACAGCTACACTGAGTACTGCTTGCTGTCAACAGTTCTCAGTGGAAAAAGCTGATTGCCTGCCTTGCTAAATAAACTCTTCAGTAATCTACAAGAAGATGCTCATAAAATATCCCATTTTGTGTATCTTTCTGTTTGAAGGCTGCAGTCTTAAGTGTCTTTTCATTTCTTCTGGTGTAACTCCTGTGTAGTTAATGGAGGCTCCTCTGTAGTAGCTGACAGCACTGCACAGTGCTGTTTTCAACCCTGGTCTTGTCATCTGTTCAGTGTCAGCTAACAAACACTAGTACTGGAATAGTACAGCAGCTGCTAAATGGCTGCCAAACGTTTTATAATCTACATGCCAGTATTATTTTCATTTTAATGTCCATCCTTCTGCGGACCACTTTGCATCACTGCAGTCTTTCTTACTGAGTCAACCACTCTATGACCAGACCTGTTGACTTTTATCCAGAATGAATGAGTTGTGTCAAAGATGGGAGAGCCTCACCTTTTTTCAATGGCCTGGCAGGTCCCTACACCTCTGTTACTAGAGAGCAGCTCTAGGCTCTGGTTGAAGATTCAGGGGTTTCATTGCCTCTGCTATGTCCTCAGGCTGCCCAGCCACATTTTAGGCTATGCTGACCAATACTGCACAGACTATGCATAGCTTTATTGTTGCTACCAGTGTCCCCAGCAGATTTCTGATCAGGTCTGCTGAGTATCAGGTGCCAGTTAGAAAAAAGCAGCAAATATTTCCTCTGTGCAACATCCCACTGCAGAGAGGGGTTAGGCCACCTAGTCTGAAGGAGATAGGTATGGTGGTTATGCTCTACTTCCCACTTCATTGTTTTCTTCGAAGAGCTCGTCAGAAATCTGAATTGTTTGTTGTCAGAAGAAGCCTCAGTTTCAGAAAAATCTGGAAGCTGCCCAAACATGTACCCTGTTATTTTTATATGAAATCATTCATGTGTAGATGTTGCAAATTTGAGGGTGCACCATTGCTCTAGACAGCAGGAGCCTAAATAAATTTTTCACTTAGATTAACTGACTGCTTTCATCAAGCCCGAGTAGGACTAAGATGTGATAGCCTCCCAGGTGGAAGTCCACCCGATTATCTCACTGTTGATCATGTGTTTGGTGTTTGGAAATAGTTGTGGGCACAGAGAGTAGGTGGATCTCACCAGAGGGTAGATCTCCAACAGTAGTAAACTCTGTGGAGATGGACTGATGTGTGAGGAATTGCAGTGTGGATGTTGTACCTGGAACTAAACTGAGACAGGTGGTTTGCTTGTGAGCCTCTGCAGTCAGAGGCTCTGGGCACAGCCAGGTTTCCAGCAAGAACTGTTGAAGCTCAAGGGAAGAGGAGAAAGCCCTGTGCATGAAAGGCAGTAGCAGGACTTGGGACATGACCATATATGTCTTCAGTTAAACAAAGATCATCAACACTTGAGCACGCGTAGAAGGAAGGATCCACCTCTGGCTCTTGGTAGACAATAGCAGGTAGAAGAAAAGGATCTCCATTGAGTGAAGAAAGTGCAGGTAATTTATGAGGGAAGACAAGTCCAAATACACTCAGTTACTCAGTTTTGAGCCTCTGATCATACTTCCTTCAGAGTGGTTGAGCCCTGGAGAGTGGCATGTTACCAAAAGAACAAGGAGAACAAGGCCCTGAGGGGTATTCTTAGCCACAAACAAGAAAATTTCTGAATTCCTCACCACCACAGAGGCTTTAGCCCTCCAGACAGTCACAGAACAGTCGGTGGAAAGACTTAGTGAGGTGGCAAAAACTGTACAGTAGAGCAGAAATTAAGAGTACCGTGGTCAGAGCTGGGAAGAAGTTCAAGGCTTGAAAATTCTTCTAGCATGCTGACTCACTGAAGGCAAATCAAAGCCTTTCCCTGGCAAGCATTGTTCACACATCCAGATTCTCAGCTTTCATTGAGAGGAGTTATGTTAAGTTCTCAAAGGGCTGAAGAAAGCATGTGGTACCCACAGTGAGGTGCCAGCCTCTCAATGCTGCGTGACATTGCTGGAGCACATCTGTCCCTTGCTCAGCACCTCTACTGGGTGCAAAGGGATTGCTAGCTCCCCATTTTCTAAGGCTGCTGGTCAGAGCTGGCTCAGCAGCAACAGACCTGGCAAGCATCATACCAGTTTCATGGAGCAGCAGAGGAAAACTCCAGAAGCAGCAACAGCTCACAGCCTGGGGCTACTCACAAGAGCGTGGGATGGGAACGATCCAGCTCACCAAAAACACATCTGCAGTGGTTGTACTGGTCTTGTCCCAATATATAGCACATGAACTTAGCAGTAAAAGAGTCTGTTTCTCTCCACTAGCTATGAAGAGATCCATGTGAATAAGATGTGAATACTTGTATTGCCTGTATGAATCCTACCTGGAGAGCGTAGGAAATCCATAAAACTAAAAATGCAGTAAAGAAGCAGAAACACCTTTCTCTACCAAAGGACTTAAGAAAGTGGTGGCAGAATTTTTACACCACAGATAGGGGCATATCAGAAGGAAAGAAAGTAGTCTCCCAAGCAGAATCCTTGTCCTGGCCAAAAGCTAATTAGAAATGCACTGGGCCAGAGAAGGGTCTATGTCCAGTCTCTTAATAGGTATCTCAGTGCCTGTGTTTCCGGGCAGATAAGAAGATTTATGCAGTGAACTCCCTGACATCAGTCCAATCTTTTGTATGGTTTTAGGGCTCAGTTCTTCATCTCATGAGTGACTGACAAATTCCCAAATGGTATATGCTAGTGGGTGGGCAGATGCATGGTTTAATCCTGCCCCAGCTACAGCCTAGTGCTACATCAAGCAAGAAGCTGTAAACCTGTCCTTGTTACCAGGCACTAGTAAGTGCCCCAGCTCTCTGAGCTATTGATGTGCATTTCAAGGGGAGTGTTCCTGCAGCCTCTTGTCGTGCACATGTTTTGCATTATCTATATATTACTTACTTTATAGCAATTATTCCATGCTTTCATTAAGCTGGATAAATGAGAGTTTGCTATAATTAAAAGGTGTTAGCTAACCTACCTAAAAAGGATTTGCCTTACCTAAGCAGAGCTTTTGGGCCCAAGCAGTATGTTAAAACATGTTCAAACCATATATTCCCAACAACATTTAAGACCAAGGGTGCCCATTGCTATTTGTTTCTATAAACTGTTAAGGGTAGACTGAAAGATTACGTGCTGCTGGGTTTTAAGCCAGAGGAACTCTGCACACTAGGTCAATCAATACAAGCCTGCTGAATTGTCCCTGCTGTTGGGACAATTCAACCTTGTCACAATAGCTTAAATTGCCTCCTTATCTCTTCTGGTGGCTTTTAGATCTGCAGGACAGCTTAAGGCTACATGAATTGCCCTCTGTAGGTGCTGTTCTCCCTCCAGGGACTATGGGGGACCCAATTAAAGCCTCAGGTTGAACTCTCATATGTAGACCTACTTAGCAAGCCCCTTTGTGTTCCAGCCTAGGGACTTCATCTTTATAGGTAACTCACTAGTCAGGATTTTTAAAGTGTTTTGACTCCAGTTCTACTCTTGCTCCTTATGTCAGAATCCAGAGTAATTTGGATCCACTTTGGGTTTCTCCAAGGAGCAGTGGTGTTAACAGCACTGACAGTATGAGATGTAAGTGAAGAGAGGTGGTATCTTCTACTAGACCAATTTTTACATTGGTTAATTCGGATTTCAGTTTTCTGACCTGCATTTTTCATGTCTTAAATATCAACCATTGACATATGCCTTTTTATGCTAGATCTTTTCTAACTATTTTGCAAGAGCTAAATTGATATTGCTGCAATATTTTAATTGCCATTTATATTTCCTTTTAAAGATCTCACCATCTGGCTGGTAGCGTTTTCAAGTACCTGAGAACATTTTAAATCTGGTGTCTAGCTTCGGGTCTGTACTTCCTTTTGCCCATCTGTGACCCACCGGTAGTAAAATATGTTATGTATTGCAGAGTACTATTAGTTGTTATTAAATGTGGCTGTGAATTTGGCACATCCTGGTGATAATATTTAGCAAACTCCTGACATGGTCAGTCTTTGAAGAAGGAAAGAATAAATAATTTTGAGAGGGAGAGATGTGCCACTTGCATTTCTGTAAGAGGACTGTGTGCTCATGCTGTACCTGTGAATTTTTTGGTACTTTGCTCAAGTCAGGATTCCATATTTTGCATATGGAACTGCTGTAACTGGCTGCAAATCTGCAGAAAAAAAGTCCCAAGAATCAGCTTTTGATTCTTGATTTTGAACAGATTTGTTGCCCTTCAATGACTTATATATAGATAGCAATATTTGAGCAGCATGGAATATGCCTCTTTTTAACTTACAAAGAGATATACTTTCAAGAATGCAGTTTTAACCATTTTATTTCTTGTTGTTGTTTTTATTTTCAGTCCTGCCTCCTGTACTCGTTCCAAGACACAGTGAGTTTAACCCTCACCTCAGCCTCCTTGCCAAGTTTCGAAACACTTCTCTGCACAGTGAGCCACTGATGCCGCACAATGCCACCTATCCTGATTCTTTCCAGCATCCTCCATGCACCCCTTTTCCGTCATCACCCAGCCACATGTTTTCCCAGTCACCTAACAGCATCAGCTATCCCAACTCACCAGAAAGCTCTTCTGGACCAGGAAGTCCCTATCAGCTCACAGGTAATAATGAGCTTTTAGGCATTCTGACTGAGGCAGTGGAGGTTCTTAGCAGGACCTGGAGTCAGGTGACAGTTCTGTATGCTTCCCTCAGGCTGTAGCTGCAGATTGAACTGTTGGACAGCGTGGACTTGGAATGTGATTTCTTGTGACTGCCTCTTGTGTATTTGACTCCCAGTCCTTCTGAGGGATGCTCAAGGGACTAGGAATTGTAGTCATCCCACTCCTAGGAGCGCCTGGGTGAGATCTCATGATTACTGTAAGGAGAAAGTTGAGGAGAGAAGGAGGTGTGCTAGGCCACCTTCTGTCTAAAGCTGTCCATCCGTGCTTCCAATACAATTCATGGAAAAGAGCACTTGCAAGACCCAAGTAAGAGACCTAAGATGGTCAGAGTGGGAACCTTTAGAACCATCCATCAAGAGAGATGATAAAATGGGGAAATTGGTGTGCAGAAATATTTTTAAATGTGTGGTGATCCCACTGACTGTATAAATTAAGGTGTTTACCAATCTGGCCCAACACTTGTGGAAGCCACTAGGCACATTCCTATGACTTTGAAACGTGTTCCACAGTTCTGAGATTGGGAGGGTTATGTCACTCTGATTGTTTGTGTTGTAAACTCCTTACTTAGTACTGCTCTAATTACCTGAAAATTTAACTATGCATTTGCTGTTAATGCAACACAGCTGAGAGATAGTTTTCCTATCAAAACATGTTTCAGATTCACTTCTGCACTTTAACTTTCAAATAGTTTCAGTGATCTCAGCTTTTTCCACAAAGATGAATACAGATCAGAATCTTGTAGCTTAAAATTTTAGTATCTCAACTACAAAGTGTTTAAATGCATGTCCTTAATGACATGCCTATTTTCACTTTAAGTGCAAGGAGTTTATTTTTACAAGGTGTTTGTAGTATTTGAACTTCCTTTTAAGCTGGATACTTTCAATACAGTGTGATGTTTTTCCTTCTCTCTCCATTCATTGAATATGTCTTCATTAATTTCTTCTCTAGATCTGTATTTCAGATTAAGTCATATTTAGCAACACTGAAACATTTCATCGAGTAGTAAGACTTGTTTGTGTTCTCCTATATTTTTTCTTTCACCTCTCTGTAACCAAGCTGGATTCAGTGGAGCTGGTTCTGACAGGTAAATCAGGTCCATTCCAGCTATGTAATGACTCTGACTCGTGCATTTTAACTGAACTTGGGACCTTGCAAAGCTACTTAAAAATGGAAGTGGCTCAACCTGAGCTTCAGTATATCACAGCACATGGCATGCTGACAGCATAATTTGCCTGTGTAACAATCAGGGATGGAAGGTGTAGTGGTTTGAGCCAGGTTTTCCCCCTGAAACTAGGAAAGTGGTAACCCCCAGGGGGTGGTGACCCTTGGGGCTTGACCCAATCAGTGCTCCTGCAAAATATAAACATATCTCTGGAGACCGGAAAAGAAGCAGTGGTACTTGTTGTTGGAAGAAGAGGTGGCCATGTTGTGGTGAGCCACAAGGAGCTGGGGCTCCGGCCCCTTAGGGGGCTCTGCCCCCCCAGCCCCTGGTTGGGGGGCTGCAGGGACTCAGAACAGTGTCAGACTGGACTGAGTGCCTGTGGCTGAGAAGCTGGGGGAGTTTCTCCCCGGTAGGAGCAGTGGGAGACGCTGGGAGCAGCAGCAGAGACAGCAGCGTACCGGAGCAGTGGCAGAAGGCCAAGCAGATAAGAAGCAGCAGAAGCCGGTATGCAGCCAAGGCAGACACAGACCTGTCTGAAGAAAAGGAAAAGCAGCAGCAGAAAGAGAATCGAGACCACGGCACAGACAGAGTTCCGGGGGTAAGAACTGGATAACCAAACCCCCCAAACTCGCTAGAGACCCCTCCGAGAAAGAGGAGGGGGTGGTGGACTGAGAGGAGTCCTAAAGTGCAGTATGCACTGCTGAGAGGAGCTAGGAAGCTCATGGCCTCCTGAGAGATAAGCCAGGACGGCCGAAGGAATGTGTGTGTGTGGGGTGACCTTGCCCCCCCCCACTGCTGCCAGGCTTCAGAGAAGCTGGCAGCCATCTTTGAGTCAGAGCATGGGAGCTCTGCACAGGGGCTTGATTTCCCCTGAGGATACCAGACCGTCATGAAGACCCCGGTGCTTCGTGATATGACCATGGTGTAGCGGCCGTGTCTGGGGTTACGCAGCCCATGGAAAGACCCCTTGTTTGGAGACAGGGGCCGAGAGAGACTTGGAAACCTCCCTCGTGTGTGCTGGCAGAGAGCCAGCAACTGTTTCTGGTGGAAGAGAAGAAGAGAGCCTGCTGCCTAGAGAGGAAGACCTGCTGCTCAGAGACTGGAAGGGGTCTTTTCTTCTTCTTCTCTCCTGGACTTTTATTTGGAGGGAGAAGAGATTTGGCCCATTGTAAATATTACTGTCATGGTAGAGATAGATATAGAGTTAAGATTGTATGCAGTGTATTATAGTATTTATTTGTGTGTATAGTCATTGTAATATATTCCTTTCCCCCCATATTGAGTCTCGTGTTTTTGTCTGGAAAACCCATCTCACATGGGGTTGAGATGTGGGAGGGGGGCTAGGAATCAGAATTGGATTTAGGCTTTTTCAAACCATGACAGAAGGGTATCTAAAGCAAACTGGAGTTACATCAAGAACTTTGAGCAGGATTGCTGTGACCAAATATAGATGTCAGCTATGCTAATTTCTGCATCTCATGCAATTCTCTATACTCTCTCTCTAATCAATGGAGGAAAACAGGCACTGTCCTACAACAGGGTTCATTGCATCTTCTTTTATATGTTTAAAGTACCTGAGATACGCTGTCTCTGCGGGTGCCTATGTTTCTGTTGTGGGTATAAGGAGAGCTTATGGTGACTAGCTTAGGCATAGACATCAAAAATAGCCATATAACCACATGACTGTGTGATTATCCTCTCTTGTGGCAGCCGGTGGCAAGTTCACCATAAAGCAAGATCTTAGGGAGGCGATGGTCCTTCATCCTTGAGACCTGTCCTGCCCAACACAGCTGTGTTCTCAGCAACATGGCCTCAATACTTGTGACTGCTGCTTGTTCTAGAACAGATGTGTTAGTCACATAATCTGACCAGTGAATGTTTAAGATTGTACAGAGGCAGCGTTGATGGAAGCGTTCTAGGAGACGCAGGTGGTGGCGGTAGATGACCCATGATTCGGATCCATATAAAACAGTAGACAGCACAATGGCTCTGTAGACACTGATCTTTGTACTTTTCTTCAAGTGTTTATTATGCCAAACTCTTTTATAAAGCCTTCCAAAGGCACTATATGCCTTCGCTAACCTGTTGTCTATCTCTCCATCAATCTTACCGTCCAAGGAGATGAGGCTACCTAGGTAATTAAACTGCTGGACTGATTTGAGCTCCGATTCGCCAATGGTGATATGGGGATGGTGGAAGACTTCCTGAGGTGCAGGTTGATAGAGAACTTCTGTCTTCTTTAAGCTGACTTCCAGCCCAAAAAACTCGGCAGTGTCTGCAAAGCAGGATGTTAAACGCTGCAGAGCTACTTCTGAGCCCCGAAGAGGAGATACAAGGACTCCCTGAAACAACATCTCGGCCTTGGCCATATTGATCAACATAACTGGTCTGCTCTGGCCTCCAATCGGGAGGTCTGGAGACACACTATCTATAACGCTGCTGATGCTTTTGAGAAAGCACGCAGGATCACTCTTGAGGAGAAAAGACAACGCAGAAAGAATCGTGCCTTGCAGAATATACCACCTAAGGAGTCTTTCTGCTGTGCCTTTTGCAACCGGACGTGCCTATCTCGTATTGGCCTCTTTAGCCACAAGCATGCTTGTAACAAACGTGGGTAGAGCCCTCCCCAAATCTTCGTTCGCGAAGCCTAGTCATGATGATGGTGTGATTATATTCCTTTCTGTGACTTGTTTTCTCTTCCACTATTTCTTGGTTTTGTTTTATCATTCTAGCTTGTTGTATTTTATATGGGAGGCTTATGTCATCTATATGTTAGAAATATCATGTGGTGTATGAAATTCCTAAATCCTCAACAGTGCTTAAGTAAAATTACGTTCCTGTTCAGTACTTACTTGGAAGATTCAATGGTTGTCTTATGAGACAGTTCACAGTCATCCACCTCCAGATGAAGTTGCTCTGTTTTGAGGGCCAGCCAACAGACCCCAAACACAACAGGGAATTTCAAACTGGAACCAAATTAAACAGTGCTTAAAGAGATCCATAGTCCTACAAGCTTGTATATGGCTATAATTAGCACATAAGATCACAGAGTTTCTGTTCAAATGAACAAAGCTACATGCTTTGAGTGCTTATGCAGTGAATGTTGACATTTTTTAACTTGAAAATTAAGACCTTTTTTCTTTGGCTTTTTGAAACCTTCTGTCTTTCTTGAGAATCCCTCCTATAGAGCAACCTATTTTCTAGCTAATGTTGCTGGAAATGGAACAAATCACAAGCCGGGCAGGTTGTGAGTTGATACTTTTTCTCCTAATGTTTTCAACACATCATTGCTCTTTGACGGGAGACTGAACAAACCAGGAGAGGACAGACTTCCCTTGTAGGACAGAGGTAAAAAAAATAAATCTGGAGGGAGATTTGCCAAGTCTGATTTTAGAATGTAAATGCTTTCCATAGGCTTTTTTTATTAGACTGTGAAGAGAGCTTTCTCCCAGAGAATCATTTAAAGTTAGCTTCTGCTCTTAAATCATCTCCTTAAGTTTTAAATTCATAAGAGAAGTCTGGAACTGAAGGATCAAACTTCATTACTTTTGTAGGGTAACAACTGGTATTAAGAGAGAACTTGGCACGGGTTTAGGCCTGAGGCACTGTTGTGACTGTCCCTCTCTCAAGTGCTGCGTGTCCAACATGACAGCCCTTCCTTCCCATCTTCTCTGAACACACAATGGTCTTAATCTAGAGACTGAAGGGAGGTCAGGTTCAGATTTGTGCTGTTTCCAGCCCTTCTCTAGCTAAACAATGCCAAAGAGGTATAATATTCACCAGGAAAAGCCAATAAGGAATTTACCAACATACTGATTTAGACTTCTTTCTTTCTTTTTTTCTCTTTCTTTCTTTCTTGCTTTCTTTTTCTTTCTTTCTTTCTTTCTTTGCTTTCTTGCTTTCTTTCTTTGCTTTCCTTCCCTCCCTCCCTCCCTTTCTCTCTCTGTCTGTCTCTCTCTCTCTCTCCCTCCCTCTCCCTTCCCTTCCGTCCCCTTCCCTTCCCTCCCTCCTTCCGTTCCCTCCCTTCCCTTCCCTCTATGTCTTTCTTGCAGTGGAAACTCCACCTCCGCCCTACCACACAAGAGAACCTGCAGGAATGCACAATGGACGGTCAATGGATGCAATAGCTGAAAGTCAACTAGTGCTGTCTTTGCCCAATGGAGGTAAATCTGCCGATGGAGAACCTGAAAGTAAATAACCATTTGTACTATTTTTTACATAAAAACTGTTAAAAAAAAGAATTGTCATTTGAACAAAAGGGTTCAGTGATGTGTAATAATAGGTTTCAGGCAGTTTTGCAGTAAGGCTCTGTGCTAGACCCATCCATTACCTAACAGAATAGGTTGATGTAAGAATACTATATATTATGTGCAAAGTTACAGAGTTTAGACTCTGTATTTTGTATTTTTATTTGTATTTTTGTACTTTAACTACTTTATGTAGTTAACTACTGTACTAGTATTGCTTTACTTTTGTACTTTTAACTACTTTATGTAGTTTATTTGTATCCATGTACTATTACATTTAAAAGCTGTTAATGAAAGCAAGCACTGTTACCTACATCATAAAGATAAATATATCAAATCAAGCATGGTGGAGCAGTATAACACACAAAAGCATTATCAATATCAGAACTCATTTTTTTTTACCACCTTCAGCTCTGGGTTTCAAGTACTTTAAAGTCTTGTGGTAGGAACCTTTCTGCTACCATCTTTGTATAAATGCTACATTACTGGCTGGCTAGAAAAGAAAAGGACACGTTCTAGTTAAGTACAAAGAGATTTTTACAGAAGACCAACCTCTGTCCTCTTATGAGAATGCTTTAGTGGGAGAGGGCATGGATGGTCAGAGAAGAAGGGTCTGGGATCCTCCTTGCACCCCTCAAAATGACTTGATGTCATCTCCATCATGGTCCCTGCTACCTTTGCACTAGTACTGGCAACTAATGCCTCCACTATTCAAAGCCCATTGCTGCAGAGTACCAAGGGCAAATGGAGTTCCTCTGCTGGGTTTTACTTTGGCTTCCTGCTACTGCAAAGGAAAAATCACCATTGTTCTTTTAGTCCATCATATTGTATTCTTAAAGAAATGTAGTTTATAGAATGAAGACTGAACACTGCGCGCACACATGCACATTAAAAAACTACTGCCAGTTCTTCTGAAAAAATGAGAAGGCTGTATGTAGCATGGAACTGGAGCAGAAGGAAGATGAGGGGGATAGTCCTAATTACACAGAATGCCCAGATAATAATAAGTTATCAGACACCAATACTTTTAAATAAATTGTCAAACTACTTTAATCTCTTTATCATAGTTTACCACCCTGATCACTATCCTAGTGAATATTAGTTAGGAGTTTATTAGAGGTTATGCACAGAGGCTCTGGGGGCAGGCAGGCTTACATGCCTGTGGTGAGCAGGCAGGATAAGGTTTCCTTCTAATTTCTGTAGGAAAAATGAGGCTCAGAGATTCTGTTACATTTTTCAGTCTGTCTCTGACTTAGAAAACCTGGGCATGGGTAGATCCAAAAGAAATGACCTTGCTGACATTTCTACTTACGATCCCACATGGAAGCAGAAAGCCTGAAAGCATCTAAAAATTGGGGGTGGGGGTGGGAGGTGGGGGTAATGATTTATTACTTCTAAACTACAGAGTTTGTTATTAGGCTGAAGGCTTGCCTTAGTTTTGACTTACTTTGAGCCCATCTGTCATCCCTGGCTCCTGCTGGTGTGTAGAGCAGATGTATCCCTTACTATTTTCAGTGTATAATTTGGGCCCCAGTTCAGCAAGGAATATCAGTGTGTTAGAGTTAAGCTGGTGCATAAACTTTTGCAAGTTTAGGACTTCATTAAAAAAGTTAAGCAAGGGAAGCTGCTGTTGAGATAAAGCATGACATAAGTGACTGTTTAGATGAAGAGATGGGGGACTGAGAATGGGAGAGAAGACAGAAAACAGAGAAGGATTGTTTAAAAATATTACTGAGACCTGAGCAGCTGACTGACTTTTATCTCCTACAGACTTTCGGCCTGTTTGTTATGAGGAACCCCAACACTGGTGCTCAGTTGCCTACTATGAACTCAACAACCGCGTAGGGGAGACTTTCCAGGCTTCCTCTCGAAGCATCCTTATAGATGGATTTACAGATCCCTCAAATAACAAAAACAGGTTCTGCCTGGGTCTGCTGTCAAATGTAAACCGCAACTCTACTATAGAAAACACCAGGAGACACATAGGAAAAGGTAAGAGGAAATCCCTTCTCCTCAGGAATATTCAGAACTCAAAAGATCCACAAACCTATCTGATTTGTCAAATGTGCTTGTCTTAAAATAAAAGCTCTGAGATTATTCTGAAATAGAAGAAAAGCAGCTGATTCTTTTCTGACTGGATAACAATCAGCAGAGTAACTGCTTACAAAAGCTATTTACTTGGCCAGCGAAGAGAAAAATGTTGTTTATAGTTATGTGTTCTGATTTAGCAGTATGTATTTTCATTTTATTTATTAGAGCTTCTGGCAACTGGGAATATCGCCATTGAAATGCCACTACAAGGATAATTGCTGGTGCCTGAGGGCTGATTCTCCTCCCACCAAATAACAAAGGGAGATGGATGAAACACTTAGTAGTTGAGTTACTTAGCCGAAGAACTCTACCAGAGTTGTCTTTGTAGCTCCCCCCCCCCCCCCCCCCCCGCCGCCACTTGCTGCCACCACCAGTCTGATTCCCTGCTTTGCCGACTTTTCACCAGTAAAACTAAGGCTTCGATTCTCCCACCAGTGGTTCTCTTTGTATACTCCACTTTTGGTGTACAGTGTGCAGAATCATATGCTGCCGGTGAGAGACCACATCTGGACATGCGTGACCACACACAATCTGTCTCAGCTCACTGGGGCTGTGTAGGGCTTGATATTCTCGCAGAACTTACTGTTGTTTGTGATGGTGAGTCAGAAGCCCTGTGCCAGCCACTTCTCCATGCAGATGAAGCTTTTCATGTTCTGGTATATCCAGTCTAGACTCATTATCTTGCCAACCCAGCCTCGAACCAGTAGCTACCTGGGAATGTATTTCCCACTGGGCTAATTAACTCTAATTGTTCCACTGCTATTATCTTGTCAACCTCACCTTATTTCCCAGGCCTAGAGCAATATTTTAATTGGCTCTTGATAGTCTAGTGTTGAATGACTGAATACAAGGAAGCTCTGAGACAAATGTGATACAGTTTTTGCAAACAGCAGTGAACCTGAAGGCTGGTGCAGGAGATGTTGTGCTTTGCTCTTGCACTTTTCTCTGGCAGGGAAGGCACTTGTGTTGCAGATGCACTGTGTGAAGCCAGTGTGATGCTACAAGTGTCTGTCATAGTGGTTCATTGTGACAGGTACAAATGTGTTGTACATCTAGTTCTAACTTAGTAAATAAAGCAAAGCTTCCCTATCAGTGTAAGTTGTCAGAGGGATGTAGATGTAAGATGAGCCTGGCCCTAAAAGAATGACAAAAGATTCCAGCTGTCATTTGAGGATGTTACATCCTGTGACTTTCTGCCCCAAAAGAGGAAGAGACAGAACAAAAATAAAATTAGGGAAATGGTAATGGTCTTCATCCATTTAAATTTGAAGATCTGTCTTCATTGCTTAAAAGTCCTTTAAAGTCCTACACTAGGAATCTGCCCAAAGGAAGGGAGCAGGTTGCCCAGAAAGGAGTTTAGTGTATCAGAGATCCGTGATTTTACCGTTCTTGCCTGTTCATGTAAATCTTAAAAAAACATTTACAAGTGGAGTATAAGTGGCACCAGTCCAGGCCTGCAGAAGAGCACAGAGCAGCTCCAAAATGTGTAGTTCAAAGGCATGATGGACAGATGAAAGGTACTGAAATGGATACAATTGTCACATGTTAACAGGGGAGAAAAAAGAGTGAGTAAACAAGATTAGCTCAGTAGGATAAGGATATGTGATTGAATTGTCATCTAGTGTATCAGCGTGAAACGGTTTCCTGGAAATACCACATCAAAGGTAAAAACAATCCAGAACACAATGCAACATCTACTAGCAATTGGACCTGTTTCAGCAGTCAGACTTCAAGGACAAAAGAGGGACTTTTGATCAGTGTCAAGAAGATGTGGATGCTTGGAGACTGCTGAATTTCCAGCTTCTGCATGGAGCAATGAAATCCCACTAAAACATATGGCCCATTGATTTGGTCTTCTACAAATATGTATCTAGCAGCTTGGTTTCCTTGAGGGTGCTTTCCTCTGATGAATGAGTACTAGAAGAATAGAAATGCATACTGATATTTCATTACTGCTGTATTTACTGCTTTTAAAAAGTCCACAAGGAAAAAGCAATTTGTAGTATCTGCTTTTGGGACTAATGGTGGTTTTGTTACTATAGCAGACAGGTTGGGCAATGCCTTTGAAAGAATTAATTTTTCTCAGAAAATGGGTTACTCAATATACTTCAAAAACTCAGCCTTAAAAATTTTTCACCTTAGTACCACAAAGTGTGGTGACCCTAAATCAGTAGCCACACTTGAAGATTTGAAATGTGGTGAATTTTTATGTCCTTATTCTTCTCTCCTTACCCTCTGTTCTCACTCTATCTGATTATTTCAGAAAATTATACGGACACCATCAAGGTCCTTCCTGTTTTCAGTCCTTCCCTTTTATGCATTTCCAAGGTAAGGAAAGGAGAGTAGGTCAAGTAATAGCAGTCACAGTGTGCAGCACCCCACAGTGTCTGGCGTAGTCAGAGCGGACCTGAGGACTGGTGGAATGGAGCTGTCCCCTTGCTTGTGTTCCCAGTAGCAGCATCAGTGTGTATTTCAAGCCACACCTCTGCCACTCGCATCTCATTTGAGATCTTGTGGGTGCATAGAAGTCAAGTGATGGCTTGAAGACAGACATAAAGGTTCCTGTCTGAGTCACCCTGGAAAACTGTGGGAGAACTTATTTTTCCCACATTCCTTTCCCACTCAACCTGCTTTTCCCTGAGCCTTTCCCACTTCTGTTTAGAGGGTGGTTTTGTCCTAAGGATGTGCTGCTACCCCTTGTTGTTATGACCACAGAATGATGAACAGACTGGGAATATGTAACCAGTCTTTTTATGAAAGACACCAGGACTAAAAGTAATTTCAACTGCATTATTAAAGCATAGTTATCACTAGCTTTGGAGGCAGTCCACTGAGGCTCTGTGAAAATGTACATTTGTATGTAAGTGTTTGAATACCATACCTGGGAACAGAGAGGAGGATTTTACTTTTATTTAGTGGTGGTTTTTATGAGAACAAAGAACTGAGTTCTTCCACCTCTCTTGACCATGGGAGGGGTTCATTTCCCCTAATCCAGCCATGGGAAAGGTGACTGTCTGGGCATTTTCACAGGATGACTTGTCCCCTTTCAGGATGTGGCTTCGTGCTCGCGTTTAAGCAGGCTGAGTCCCCATTGCCACGCTTGCACTGATGATGTTCTCACTGCAAATAAATTTGGTTTGGTTTGGTTTAGTTTGGTTTGAAGTTTATTAGCTGGTTCCCAATCCTCAGCCATTGCTGCCAGCATGAAAGCAGGTGTGAGAAGAAACAGCAGGGGTGGGGAATGGGAGAGTCTTTTCAGCACCTGCACAGACTTCCATGGGGTTAAACTGGCTGTAAGCCTGCACTCTGTAGCGGATGCAATGAATCATCTGGTCACAGTGCCTCTCATCATCTATCAGCTAGGGAAGGTGTCTACAAAATTAGCTTACACAAGATCCCTAACTTTAAGGTTGCTGAATTAGGCTAAGATAAATTCTCACACCAATTTAGGTATATTTTCATGCAAGCAGATATCCTGAGGGGATCAAAGTATTTGAATGGATAGAAGTGCTTCCACCTTCATTTCCCCAAGGCACAGTCAAAATTTGAAGGTTAGTGTTGGTAAGTCACCTGGGCACTGGAAAGTTCAGAATAAAATGAGTCCTTTTCTTGCTAAAGGTCACTTGGAACAGGATCTGATGAGTCAGTCACATCATGTAAATGCAAATACTCGGTTCTGATGTGGCGGATAAAGCAAAATACAGAAAAGCTATTTTAAGTACACACTATGCTGTGTTTTAACTGTATGATGTAGGATCCTGTAGTAAAATGCCAACGTGCAGTGAAGTGGGTCTTGGTCAGCGTGCATGTTCTCAACAGAGAAAATACACTTCGATGTGTAATGTAATGCTGATTTTTCAGTTCTTGGATAGTTTTGATTCATGCTTTGTATATGCTTGACATGTGTTTGATACTTATGTATGTGTGTCCTATCATAAAATACTGTGCTATTGGGTAGAAGAAGTAAACCAAGTTTCACTGAGAAATGAAGAAAAATACCACCTTCCAAGACTTTCTTCTTCTAGACCAGTACCTCAAAATAGTGTTTATGACATTTTCCTCTTAATGTTGGTGGCCCCTTGTACAATACGTAGATATGCACACATTTTACTGTCTTCTAAAAGGTACCAGGTATCTGGAATGATCCTGGGTTTGTATGCCAAGATAAAAGACAAAATTATTGGTATAAAGTGTGTTGTGAACAATGGAGAAATGATACACATTACATTTTCTTTTTCAAGGTGTTCATCTTTACTACGTTGGCGGGGAAGTTTATGCTGAATGTGTCAGTGACAGCAGTATTTTTGTGCAAAGCCGCAACTGTAACTACCAGCATGGTTTCCACCCAGCCACTGTCTGCAAGATCCCCAGTGGCTGCAGCCTCAAGATCTTCAACAACCAGCTCTTCGCCCAGCTGCTTGCCCAGTCAGTCAATCATGGTTTTGAAGTGGTGTATGAGCTGACCAAGATGTGTACTATTCGAATGAGCTTTGTTAAAGTAAGGATTCTTTGTTTTCTCTTGCATTTCTGAAAAGGCAAATCCCATTACTTTCTAGCTCCCATCAAATCCTTTCTGAAGCAATTCAGACTGCCTCTTTTCCAGTATTGCCTTAAACTTCTAGGTGCTTACAATCATTAGTTTTGAGGTCAACCTGGAAATTTCTTAGATTCCAAAATTTGGGTATTCCATAGGCTCTCTGTGGAAAATAGGCAGAGAATGCATGGTGGAGTTCCCCCATTGATTGCACAAAAAGCTCAACTTGGGGCTTAGTAAAATGTAAATGTCTTAGGCAGTTGTGATCTCTCATATTGTTACTGGTTTGCAATAGAGTTTAATAGAGCCATAGGTCTGAAAAGAATGTCCTTATGTCTCTAGGCTAATTTACAGTCTCACCAGTACTATAGGCTGATATATATGGTCTCAGTCAAGAAACACTGGATCCTTCTTCATCTCCCACTTAGCTTGCAGGGAGTTGTTGTTTGCCATCTGCCTGATCCCTGGCTAAAGACTGTCATAATTTCTGATGACGTTCCCTCTGGCCAGCCACATGATCAGAAGGGCTTCTTGCAAGCAGAATAGAAAACCCAGAAGAATATCTGACCTTCTCTCTGTTACTTGGAAGAAACAGGAGGCCACCAAAGCCATTACTGTTTTGATGTCTTTCATATCTGAACTTCACAGTCTGACTGCTCTGTGTGATATCTATCAGTCTTTGTGGGAGTTTCTCAAATTTTCTGAATGGCCTTCTCACCAGAATGAGATCTCTTGACTCCTTTTAGCACTTAGAATTTACTTAAGTGCCTGTTGTAGCATCGAAAACCCAAAGAATGGTGGGTATGTAAAGATTGTTTGCAGATATGCTAGACTGACTTGCTATAGTGCTGCTGGGGAGAGCTGGCAGCAATGTTCAGCCTGCAAAATAGAGGAGCTGCACCATTAGAAGCCAGTTGGTCCTGCTAGGTATCATAAAAATGGCTTGTGTATGTGCCTTCGTCTTGCAGATTTGTTTCTATACAAATGACTGAACCAAGATGATTGAATTCTAAGATACTGAAAAATTGCTTGAGGCTTGAGCCCAGTTACCTTACGTTCTACAGAGCAGATGAGTTGAGCCCCACATATCTTTCTGACTTTTTCAAGCCATCCTTGGGGACCCATTTCCTTAAGTCTCTGAGAGTATTAAGAGTGCTCTGTAACTTCTCTCAGGAGTCCAAGCCAAAATCTCCATGCCCATCACCATGCTGCTGCTTTGTTCTTGTGAAGGAACTGACATCTTGTTCACACACAAACATTAGGGGGAAAAAGGAAAGCAAGAAACTTAACAAACATTTTCTTTAATTAATGGAAGACATGAATGGGCATGTTGTTTGTAAAGGCAGTGTAGCCAGTTATGCAATATTTTCATTATCTCAGCAACTTGGGGACAGTCTCTTTGATGTGTTATCTGCCTCCATGCTCAGCACGGCAGCAAAAATGGTGATGTTGATGCACTCTATATTGCTGCTGCCATATTATCACCTTGCTTTGTTCAAACCATAGCAGCTACTATAGTGCCTCAGGCACCAGAAGACCAGTGCAGGGAGTTCTTTTGAAACCTTTCCCATGACCTTTGAAAAATTGCTATGCAAATCTCATCTAGGTTCTTTGTTCCTGGCCTACAAATACCTTTTCCTGTACTCAGTCTTCTCAAAGTATTTCTCTCCCAAGGTGTGAGCCCCTGTGTGTTCAGTCTGAGGTCAGGAGTGCTGCTGGATGTTGGGTATGCAGTTGCAGATAGGGGCATGTTATCTGTCAGAGCCACACCCCAAGAGAGCCCCCAGGTGCAGGGCGATGCTGTGGCTTCTCCCCTGATTCATGTCCAGATGCTGCTGGTCACCTACAACCCACAGGATGAGCACAGCTAAAGGGCTGGAGACCCTGTCTCCTACCCCACCAATGCTTGAGCTACCAGCTGGGAGACAGCGATGGGGAGGGACCAAGACATGAGAAACTTGCCAGGACTGTGTTGTCTTCTGGAGGCAGGACATGGGACAGAGGGAGGTAAATGTCTTGTCCCCTCTGATGCCCTTTGTGTGCCCACAGAGCAGCTAGGAGCTCAGTTGTGGATGTACCATCAGTGAGAGCAGTTTCCATCCATTGAGCACTTCTGATAACCAAAGCAGAATGGCGTTGGCCCCTCTCCACAGCTGAGGCAGCCGAAGCGCAAAGGGTAGAGATGGAGAGTTTCTCCAAGCTGAGGTCCGAACCCAGCACAACCCCTCACATATTTCCCCCTTCACATAAGGGGAAGACCCAGCAGACTCGACTGTGTTCCATGGCATGAGGTAACTCAGTACTCTGGGACATGGCTGGAGCCTGGGCTGGAGAGAGCTGTTGCCCACAAGAGGCAGGAAGGGCTGGCAGGAGCAGCAGGACCCTATGGGGGTACTAGTATCCTCTTCCTACCATCTGTGCAAAACACCGTCACAGCTTTGCAAGTTGTACTCATCTTATTCCCTCATTAAGAGAGTCCGAGTTCATTTTGACTGTGGGGATAAAGGAGGCTACCTGCGACCCTAGAGTGATATACAAGGGGCCACAGGGGCCTTGTCCTCCTACTGTTTCCCCTGGCAGGGCTCCAGCCAGAGACAGCATCACTGGGAGTGTTTGGGAGTTGCCAGCAGAGGGAGATGGCCAGGCGCCTGCATGCGCTGCCAGACTCCCCCAAATCTGGCAGGTTGTACTTTCTACCTGCAATTACCATTCCTCTGGCTTTTCCATTCTGCCAGTCAGCAGAGGTGCATCGGCTCCTCTGATGCCCTTCTGGCTGTGTATCTTCATTGCACCTGAGTACTTGCAACTTCATCATCTCATTAGTGTGACGGCGCTGGCATTTTATGCAAACATTTACAGAACATCAATCTGAGGTCCTGTGAACACAGGCCCTTTCTAGCTTGATAAATGGTCTTCAGTTCAGAAAAATGCCTGTTTAGAAGTACTCTGGGCTTTTGTGGGTCCATATTTTACTCTTCTGCTTTCTTTCCCCTTTTCATCATTTAGTAGCAATGGATTTTATCCAGACCACTTATGGCATCCTGTTTCAGTGTTGATCTTAATTTTGCAGCTGAACATCTAAAGAAGTGGGCTCTAGCAGCTTCACTTGTCGGAGTTATTCAGCAGTCTACAATTTAAGTGCCTTTAGCAGGCATCATTCTTAATATATTTCCACATCCTTTTTCCATGACAAGAATACCAACCTGCATGACTAGCATAGTGATAGGTAAGACTCAGTGTCTGATCAGCATCCCACAAATGAAGATCCTCATCCTGTAGTGGGACCATGTTTTACACATTGCCCTGTGGAAATCCCAGTTCAGTTCTGCCAGTGAGACAGCTGGTGAGCTGCAAGACTTTGGGCTGTGACTCGGAGGCCTCGCGTTGCTGTGAAATCAGGCTGCCTGCTTAGGGAGCAGACACTGAGCCTGCTTGAATCATAGAATCATAGAATATGCTGAGTTGGAAGGGACCCATGAAGACCATCAAGTCCAACTCCTGGCCCTTCACAGGAGAATCATACTATGTGCCTGAAAGCGTTGTCCAAACACTTCTTGAACTCAGACAGGCTTGGTGCTGTGACCACTTCCCTGGGGTGCCTGTTCTACTGCTCAACCACCCTCTGGGTGAAAAACCTTTTGTAACCTAAACCTGTCCCTTGAGGCATGGGGACTCCTGGCTCTCTTTTCTCCCTACCAGCACCACATCCCCATCTTCTGTCAGATGCTCTGTATCCCTTGTCGCACCAAAAGAGCTGGAGAAATTACTGCAGGACTTCCCACAGCAGACAGCTGGGAACTCCTGTGGGAAAAGAGGACATGTTCAAGGATAGAAAACCTATGGAAAATATCTATACATAGGCTAGGTACGGTACATAGGAACTGCTGAAAGTTTCCAGAGGTTTAGATAAATACCTAGAACTTCTAAGGTCTCAGACTCATAGAATGCATCCTTACCAATACATGAAGCAGTGCCCAGGACCATACCCAGTTCCTGTTAAAATGTTATGAAAGAGCCTGGCCTGCTTTTTATCTGTGCCAGACAGCAGTCTGCCAGACTTTCCTGGGCATGTCTCTGGGGTGCAAATAGCAGGGACCATTCCCCATGAGCTGTTTGCAGGCAGCAAGCTTGGAAACAGGCCTTTCCATGACAGTTGTTTTCAGCACTTGGAAGTGTGAAGAGATTTTTAATTTAATACCATAGAGTAACTACATAGGTAACTGTGATAACAATGACCTCAAAAAGTAGCAAAGTTTCTAGAGAAAATTATCCCTAGGACAAAGCATTAAATCTTGAGAACTTGGGTGGTGGACTACCTGTAGTTGTGTTAGACTGTCAGCACTGGAGTTGTGATTTAATGCTTTGGTTTTCTTAAAAAAACCGCTCACTTTTTGGTCCTTTTGTAGGGCTGGGGAGCAGAGTATCATCGCCAAGATGTTACAAGCACACCCTGCTGGATTGAGATCCACCTGCATGGACCGTTGCAATGGCTGGATAAGGTGCTGACACAGATGGGCTCACCTCACAACCCCATCTCCTCAGTCTCTTAAGAATCATGTCTAGAATTTCTTGAGGATGGATGCTATTGCAGGCAGTGGCTTATAGAATTCCCAGTGAACAGAAGCTTCTATATGTAGATGTATGTAGATGTAAATATATCTATACATAGTCTACTCCCTTTTTTTTTTCATGCTGCATTTTGTGGTTTCTAGTTACTCTGATGCCAGTACAACAAGTTTAGAAATTCAGGTATAGCATATCTGTTCTCTAGTGCAAAATAAGCCAAATTCCTGCAAAAGTGTCAAACATTTCCTGTGAACATCTTCATTCCCCAGCCAAGCCAGTAAATGGTGCGAATTCTCAGCACTTCCATGTGGGTTCGGAAACCTGGCTGTAGCTGTTCCTAGTAGGTGAAATTCACCCCTCTGCAGGCAACCAAAGTCAGATCTCTATGCCATTTATATCCATTTTACATCCTAATTTCAGGTCTAAAAGAGGACCTTAGATGGTGCACAGGACTTATGCATAGAGATGACTTTTATCTAGTGAACTGAAGGACTAAATTGCAATTCCAGTCTGACTCCCTACTGCAAAGCATGATGGGACAACAAATCCTCTGAGGAGCTGAGGCACCCGCATCTCCCCTAGGATTTGGCAGGAGGAGAGAGCCCTCAGGACACACTCAGCACTGGAGCCTTATCAGAGCATTCTGGACACCTCCAAGTAATCTGTTACTGTTGACACAGTAGGGTATGGTACTGCTGCACTGAAAAGCAACAAGCTCCTAAGAAAAAAATAATTGAAATATATGCCTATGAGTTAAAAAACTAATTAACTTCCAGTGCTTTTTTGCAAAGTACATACATACTTGCATATGTATCCGGCATGTAAACTGAATCCTATCCATGATACAGTATTGATGTAGTTTGTTTTAAAGTTAGGACTGTCTGTAGGTAGAATACTGTGCTGCCCCCCTCAAAGGGGCTTGAACTGTGATTCAGAAAAGGGAAATGAAGTGTGCATTGAAGAAGCAAATAATTACTTTATCATTCTTCTTGGGATAGTCTCCATACTGGGAGCAGGAAGCCCCATGCCCACAGGATGCAAAGAGAAGGAGGTGAGAGTCAGCCACATCCATCCCCTATACTGGGCCAGTCCTTGGGATCTGACTGCATCACTCGGGTCTAACAGAGAGAGGGCTTCCCTGCCAGTCACTCACAAATGGTTTCTCGTCTTAGATACAGGTTCCATCATTTGCTGTGCTTTTGCCTTGCCTGCAGGTGATGGTGAGGCAATGTAAGCTGTGAACAAGCAAAGAGTGAATCGATGTGCAGAACCTTGTCTGTGTTCCTTCTGTAAGGGTATTGCCCATACCCTCATCCACAGAGCCAGCCTTACAAAATGCTGTTCACTTTGTAACCTTTTCTGAGGAGACAGGTAAAACTCTTAATACATTTTGATTGTCTCCATCATTTTGCTGAAAGAATCGAGTATTATTTCAAGGCATAACAGTTTACTGAAAATTGTTTTGCTTTAAGGATCAGAAAGAGTGATAACTTCTCCAATCTCATTCCTCCACGGAATACACTAGAAGTGTATTTTTTCATGAGAAAAAAAATGTTTTACAGAATGTTTCTTTTCTTCTCACACAATATCTGGTGCTACACATTTTGTTGCATAATTTGAAGAGGATGCCTGAAATCTTCAGCTATATCACATATGCAAAGGAAATAACATTCACTGGAAAGACAGTAAGTGAACTAACAGTGTTATTTCATTTCAGTGCATCTTCAGCTGCCTGCAGAATTTGCAGGACACAGAAGGATAAATTATTGTTAGGTTTGAGCAGTAATAGCAAGTTGTATATGAAATTTGTACATGCGAAGAACCCTGTTCTGTCACCATTTGACGTCAGAGGTGTCACTGTGAGATAGGAAAGTCTCTTGCAGCAATGAAATACAATGATAATATTACACAGAAATTCCAGGTGTGCCATTTACTGTTTAGCAGACTTGAGAGACATCAGTTTGGAAAAATGCATTTTCCTCAGCTCCCTCTGTCATCAGTGACCCTGTACCAAGGTACTGGTAACATGTTTTTTAGCATGTTTATTGCACCTCCAGTAGCACCTTTGCTCTGGGATGAGCACCTTTTCATGTAGTTCATTTCTTTGCTTTCTTAGCAGCTAAGGACAGAGAAAATCACCTCTCCTGTCTAGGATCTAGCTCTGTCTTTTATCCTAGGTTCTTCCTTGCCTTTTAGGCTGAAACCTCCTTCCCTTCTAATATAAGCTTTTATAGAGAGAAGACATTCCCAGCATTGTCATCTTCCTCACAGAGAGCAAAAAGGAGATGTTGTGAGGTGTATCTGCTCTTGCGCAGCTCCAGAACCTAATTTCTGCCAATGCTGAAAAATTGGCCAGTGAAGAGAAGCAGGTCCTTTTGGGACATCATTCATTTCATCATAAGACAGGCATTTCAAGTAGGTGAAACTGTACTTTGGGCATGCTTATGTTTTCCCACTGAGTATAAGGGGAACTTGTGTCACTAGCGCAAATGTGGACTGCTACACTGGGCATTCCAAAAGTAGATGAGGTGGACCCTAAGGAAGATGTGGTAGCTTTCCCAGGCTAATAACAATGCTTGCTCAGTTAAGTGTCTGTGTTGTTTGAATAAAAGTTGGTAAAATCAGAGCAGTTCTTTCTTTCCTGTATGTCTACTTTTATAGTAATCCTTATATGAATGGAATTTGGCTTCCATGCAGTCCATACATGCATCTCATTTAAGGCAGTCACCTTAATACTATCTTACTAATAAGTAAAGAGGAATCTCTGAAGCATGATTCTTCTGACCTATGTAAAACATCTGTATTAGAATGAAATGAATTTCAGCAAATATAACTATTTGTCAAAAATTGGATCAAAGCACCTGATTCTGGGCAATTGAAGCCAATGGCCATCACAGAGTTGTTAGCCTTTTAGGAAGGCTGGTATCACTGTGTCAACTATTTCTTCCTGTTTTGGTGGCCTCTGGGGACTTATCCCACCATGTGGGATGCTATGCAAACACAGAAAAGCTGACAGCTCCTTCCCAAGTGAAGGGGAGAACTCACAGAGAAGTGATAATAGTGAATGAGGAAAACAAGTATATAGGAAGATAATCCCTGCCCAGATGCAGAGATAAAAAGTAAGGTTATTAAACCATTTATTTCCCTTTCTTTTTGAACAAAGTTTCTTTTACAGGCTTCTCTAATATATGTGAATTGAACTTGGTTAAAAATTCAGGTTTCTCTTAATTTACAGCAGTGTAACTTTGTATCTCTAATGTCTCCCCATTTTGGAAGGAGATATTTGCTGCTGAAAGGTCTTCATAAACCTGTCCACCTGTAGTCAATTTAAGGCCTTTAAATGTACTCACTAAGCTTTGGAGGTAGTCTTCCTGAGAGATTTAAACCCACTTACAGGGAGACTACAATCAGTTGACCAGGGGGTGGAGCCAAGGTAGTTTCCTGGAGATTTAAACTGCTCCAGGGAGTGCAAGTGACCTGGAGTGGGCAAACAGGGATGTGGCATGTCAGTGAGGTCGTGGCATGGCAGTTCGCACAGGCAGGGGAAGCAGGAAGGGCACAGCCACCCTCCCAGCTCTCTCTGGTGGGTTGTGATGTAGGTGGGTGGCTGTGGTTTCTTTGTTTTTTCCTGCAAGTCAACTAGACCCAGCAATGGTTTACAAACGAGCAAAAGCTGCTGGTGCTGCTATCAGGGGTAGTGTGCTAACCCAGACAGAACCCCTAGAAGGATGTGGCTGTTCAGGCCTCTGGCTGCATAGAGTGTCTGAGCCTGGCATTAGTACCAGAGGACAGTGTGAGAGACGCCTGTGTACGATGTGAGCAGGTGAATGATTTGCTGTGCTTAGTGGCAGAGCTCAAGGAAGAAGTAGAGAGGCTAAGAAGTATTGGGGAGAGTGAAAGGGAAATAGGCTGGTGGAGTCATACCCTTTCCACCCCAAACGAAGTCCAGCAGGAGACAGTGAAGTCCTGCCCTTCCTGCCATCAGGCAGATAGAGCAAACCAAGTAGATGGGGGGGGGAATGGAAACCGGAGAGGTAAAAGAATCCCGTCCTGACCCCCATCACCTCCCCGGGTACCTTTAAAGAACAGGTGTGAGACCCTGGACCCAGAGAGTCAGGCAGAGGGCAGTCAAGAAGAGAATCTGTCTGGAGGGTCTCCTGGTTGCACCCCATCTACTAGATGCATCACAACCAGAGCTATAAAGAAAAAAAGAAGGGTAGTTGTAGTAGGTGACTCCCTTCTGAGGGGAATGGAAGGCCCTATATGCCGACCGGACCCATCCCCTAGGGAAGTCTGCTGCCTTCCCGGGGCCTGGGTGAGGGATATTAGTAGGAGACTCCCTGAGCTAATCTGGCCCTCTGATTATTATCCACTGCTGGTGGTCCAGGCTGGCAGTGATGACATTAATGAAAGAGGTACCAGGCTAATTAAAAAGGACTTCAATGTGCTGGGTCGATTAGTTAATGGGACAGGAGCACAGGTGGTGTTTGCCTCAGTTCCTGGAGTAGCAGGGATGAATGAGGAGAGGAGTAGGAAAACCTGTCTTATCGATAGGTGGCTAAAGGGTTGGTGCCACCAGCAGAATTTTGGTCTTTTTGACCATGGGGCAAATTCTATGGTACCTAGCCTTCTAGAGTCAGACGGGCTTCATCTATCTAGCAAGGGCAAAAGGACTCTAGCCCATAAGTTGTCAGGGCTGATCAGGGCTTTAAACTAGGTTTGAAAGGGGAAGGGTTTGAAACCAGGCTCTCCAGAGATGAGCCTAAAGGTAGAAAGCCAGGGTTAGGAGTGATATCAGCAGCCCAGCTGAAGTGCATGGGCACCAATGCACACAGTATGGGTAACAAGGAAGAGGAGCTGGAAGTCATTGTGCAGCAGGAAAGCTGTGATGTAGTCGCTATCACAGAAGCGTGGTGGGATGACTCGCATGACTGGAGTGCTGCCATGGGTGGCTACAAGCTCTTCAGAAGGGATAGGTGAGGTGGAGGGGTGGCTCTATATGTTAGAGAGTCTCTTGACTCTGTAGAACTTAAAGTCAGTAACAATAAGGTTGAGTGCCTGTGGATCAGAGTCAGGGGGAAGGCCAACAAGGCCAACATCCCAGTGGGAGTCTGTTTGTTATAGACCCCCCAATCAGGATGATGAGGGTGATGAATTATTCTACAAGCAGCTGGCAAATGTCTCAAAATCACCAGCCTTTGTTCTTGTGGGTGACTTCAACCTGCTGGATGTCTGCTGGGAACTCAACACAGTGGGGAAGAGGCAGTCTAGGAGATTCCTAGAGTGTATAGAGGATAATTTCCTGCTTCAGCTGATAAATGAGCCTACCAGGGATGGGGCCCTGCTAGACCTTCTGTTCTCAAACAGAGAGGAGCTGGTGGGAGATGTGGTGGTCGGAGGCCATCTGGGGCACAATGACCATGAAATAATAGTTTTCAGTACTCAGGGACACAAAGAGGGCCATCAATAAAACTTCTACCCTGGACTTCCAGAGGGCAGATTTCAGCCTACTCAGAAGACTGGTTCAGAGGGTACCTTGGGAAACAGCTCTTGAAAACAAAGGGGTCCAGGAGAAATGGACATGCTGGATCCTCACAGGTCTATGGGACCAGATGGGATCCATCCTAGGGTGACAAGGGAGCTGGTGGAAGAGCTCGCCAAGCCGCTCTCCGTCATATACCAACAGTCCTGGCTCACAGGGGAGGTCCTAGATGATTGGAAGTTGGCAAATGTCACGCCAATCCACAAAAAGGGCTGCAAGGAGGACCCAAGAAACCACAGGCCCATCAGCCTGACCTCAGTGCCAGGCAAGGTTATGGAGCAGTTCATCCTGAGTGCAATCACACAGCACCTACAGGATGGACAGGGGATCAGACCCAGCCAGCATGGGTTTAGGAAGGGCAGGTCCTGTCTGACCAACCTGATCTCCTTTTATGATCAGGTGACCCACCTGGTGGATGAGGGGAAGGTTGTGGATATAGTCTGTCTGGACTTCAGCAAAGCCTTTGACACTGTCTCCCATAGCACTCTCCTGGAAAAGCTGGCAGCCCACGGCTTGGACAGGGGCACTCTGTGCTGGGTTAAGAACTGGCTGGAGGGCTGGGCCCAGAGAGTGGTGGTGAACGGTGCTGCATCCAGTTGGCGGCGGATCACTAGTTTAATATCTTTATTGATGATCTGGATGAGGGGATTGAGTGTACCATTAGCAAATTTGCAGATGACACGGAGCTGGGGGGGGAGTGTTGATCTGCTGGAAGGCAGGAGGGCTCTTCAGAGGGACCTAGGCAGACTGGAGAGGTGGTCTGATTCCAACAGGATGAGGTTCAACAAGGCCAAGTGCCGGGTCCTGCACTTTGGCCACAACAACCCCATGCAGCGCTACAGGCTGGGGACAGTGGCTGGAGAGCAGCCAGGCAGAAAGGGATCTGGGAGTTTGGATTGACAGGAAGCTGAACATGAGCCAGCAGTGTGCCCAAGTGGCCAAGAAGGCCAATGGCATCCTGGCCTGTATAGGAACAGTGTGGCCAGCAGAACGAGGGAAGTGATTCTTCCCCTGTACTCAGCACTAGAACAGGTTGCCGAGAGAAGCTGTGCATGTCCCATCCCTGGAAGTGTTCAAGGCCAGGTTGGATGGGGCTTTGAGCAACCTGGTCTAGTGGAAGGTGTCCCTGCCCATGGCAGGGTGTTAGGACTTGATCATCTTTAAAGGTCCCTTCCAACCCAAACCATTTGATGATGATGATGTCCCAGGTGCTCTCCAAGCCAAAGGCAAGAGTTCCTTGCTCTGGAGAAAACTGGAGAGAAGACTGTTACTTGGACAGCTGAACCCAAGCTCTTTTGAGTGAGTGGAAACCGCACTGAAGGGGCTGAGATTTTTATAGAAGATTTACAGTTCATGGGTGTTTAAGTAGCCAGAAATGCACTGAGATGCTGAAGAGACTGAGGAGGAGAGAGCACATGACCAGCTAAGCTCAGTGGTCATTACTGGAGGTATCAAGGCAGTACGTGCTTGGGCAGCTATTGTGTTCACTAGAGCTTTTTACATTCACATCTAACCAAATTGTCAAGACCTGCTTTTAGAGCAGCTTGGAGTATGACAATCCTTGCTGTGGTTCTTCCTGTACATCCAGCCTGCGAGAATGTGCCAGGTTCCCGATTAAGCCATTCGATATGTTGAGGCAAATGGTATCCCATGTGATCCAGAGAGTAGGCTCTGGTTGCATCTGGGAACTGCACTTGAAAGATTACCCTCTGCCTTGCTGCAAAACTAATGAGTTTAGTTTTGGGTCAACTGTTCACGGACACTAAAGCACATCCACTGTGTGCTCCTCAAAGAAAGATGCAGTCTGAACAGAAACTGCACGACTGAAAGACGTGGTCTGTATAAGAGCATCTACCTGGGAATTCTGATAAACCAGCTCACCTCATGCATAGGTGGGAAATTGCAGTGCCCAAAGGAAAACGGAGTCAGCAGGAGCCTTCATGGGGACTTGTATTTTTATCAGTACCTAAGAATGGACAAATGTGCTTCCTTGAGAGCAACTAAGAGGTCAGGTCACCATTAAAAAAGAGCTTGACAAGAGTTGGTCCCATCTTGCAACAGGGAGAGAGATTATATGAGACTTTAGATCTGTGAATGAAAAGCTTCTCAACCTGGAGGTTTCGTTGCACCCATTGAAACAGGGCTTCTTCCTCATCGCAGCTTCAGTACCTTACTGCAAGATATAGGAAGCCTGAGTGGACATTTAGTCTTTGTTCAACTGAGAGAAATCCTTTTGTGTCTCTAGTGCAGACAGACACTTCTGCATGTTGGGCACCGGCACACACAACAGCTTTTGGTTTATATCCATCATCTATTCATAGAAAGCTCCGAATGGGCAGGAGCAGCCAGAATCCTGTTACCTGTTCACCCCAGGGCTTTCCAGACAGCTTGCCCAGCCATGCCTTACATTACGTTGCCATATTGATGCCCCACTTCCCTGTCAGGGAGGTGAGGTGCATGAGAGTCCTACCAAAAGGACACCTGCACTTGTACCTGGGCCATGCTTGCAAACAGTGCCTGTACAGATAACAAATCTAATTTGCAGGCCATGTCTCTTAATGCAAGTTAGACATAACCACTACATCCTCCAGAGTCAGCTATTCTTCCATTATAGTCAATGTGAACATTTGCAGCTAATTGTGAACAGATTTTAGACCTTCAGTCATGGTGTTTTTATTATCCATGGATGCTGCTATTTTATATTCTGTGTTAGTATTCAAATAATATTGCATATGAATAGCATAGGATGAAATAGACCAACCACTTAATAATTTTAAATACAGACCTCATCAGCAAAGAAAAGCTAAAAAAATCTTGGTAAAGTCTGACCCCTTGCACTTTCACAGTAGTGAGTGAGCAAATCGTATTTCAAAGTGGTTTATTTGATGCTAAAGTGTGTGTTGTCTTATTCGTTCACAGTTATGTCCATGAGAAGCTTTGCAAACAAGAGAGCAAGGGAACAAACATAATATGAGCAGAGATAATGCACATTTAGATAAATTTTCTTCACTTACTCAAGCAATTGGGAGTTTTTAATTATTTAAAATACTTCTCAAGAACAAGCTAAATGTACCACAGCAGACTTTCTGCAAATAAGTCAGTGTTAGCAATTTAAGCCCTCACTTCAGCATCACCTCTGTGATATAAATGGGGCTGAGAAGTGAGACAAGAAAGTGAAGAAACAGGCCTTTTAGTGTGGAACAATGAAGCCATAAGGTTGCAAAGTTCTACGCAGTCAAGGGGTTGAAATGGTAGATTTGAGCAAGGTGTGTATGAGGGGGTTGTGTTAAATACAAGCTATCAGTCTGGTGCAGAAAAGCACTGTGACTCATGCATAGATTTAACAGTCGCTTCTGTCTGTGAACAATTCTGCCCTCTCTTTTCCATCAGAAGCAAAGCAAAACATCTGCACCATC